AAATAAGAAAATATTTGCACTTGACACATAGTTACTGTAGGTGGGAGAGATTGGGAACAAGAGGCACAAGTTGATTATAATGGAGTGTTATAGCTACATTCTTTGTTTAATTAATGCATGATAATTTAGGAACAAGGTTAGGCTTCTAAAATTTTCATGTATCAAAGTAAAATGCTTTAATATCAAAACAAGCAGGGGAGGTTGAATAATAATGTAGATAGGACACTAGCTTTTCTTTCTTGTGGGAAGAATGGGTGATTGGAAGAACATTAGAGTTAATTAATGAGAAAAAGACGCACGAGCTACAACAATGACGAAGGTTGTTTCATAAATAGGAAAATGGAGAGATATATTTTATTCTTGATCCTATACATGACCGACAAGAATTTGGTAGCATCATAAGATAAAGAAAGACAAAGCCTTTCATAGCATACCAACATGACCCATAAGAGTACACTAAAATACAAAAATGATGTATTATAATAAGCATAAAAAAGATAAAATTTGAGAAAATAATAGCCCCACTTTTTTTTCAGTCAATAGCAGCTCCCACATGACAAAATAATAAATAGTAAAGTAGAAAAAAGACAAACCTGGGAAAGATCTCAAATAGAACAATGTCACACTTGAATATAAAGCTTGGAAGACTTCAAAAGTGCGCATTTAAAACCCCAAGTCAGATAAAATTGTGAAAAGAATCTCTGTTATAACTGAGAAATGAAGGGGAAAAAATTAGAGTAAGTTGTTGAAATGAAGAGAGAAAGAAAAAGAGAGTTGTAAAAGGAACAAAAAAGAGACTTACCGCTGAAAATGGAGAAAATGAACGAGGTCTACAGTGCCCACTACAAAAATGAGAAGTAAGAGGGGAGAAAAGGGAATTTTTTGGCTTTTCTTCGAAATGAACGAGGGAACCGAGGGAGGAAAATATTCTAATATTTGGACTTTTGTTAATTGAAACAATAATTATTTAAATAAAAAATGGAACTCAGTGGTGCTTGTATCACGTTAGCATGTTAGTTGAGGGAACTTTTTTTTATCCAATGGGTTTGTGTTTGAACCATCAGTTTTTAACTTTTAATGTTTGATTGGGAAAAAAAAATCACGCAAGGAAAATAGCTGAACACCCACTACTCTAGGTATCATCCTTTGACAGTACTTTAACATTAAATATATATGTAATATATTTAAATAATGTCTAAAATATTTAAATTAATATTTTATAGTTTTTTTTATATTATAAACTTATTTTTTAATATACATTGGATTGAAGATTTTATAAATCTATTGGATGACCTCCCACGTGCTATATCAAAAATAAAACTTTAATTATTCAATAGAATATTTGGTCAAACAAAGATTTAAGAAATGTGAGGTGTATATAGTAATTCTAAACAAGATAATAATTTGATTAGTAGAGAAGTTAAACAAGATTACTCTTACCATGATGAGATTGTTGAAAAAGGTAAATCACTTATAATCAAAGATTGGAATGTGCCCTTGTATTTTAACTATAAACAGAATAGTGTAATCAAAGATTCCGTTCTACCTATTTTTATTAGCTAATGTCAATAATTTTCAAACTAACAATTTATAAAACCTTGTGTTTCATCATTTTAACTTTAATTATAATCAATAACATATTATTCTAATCAAATAATTTATAATTAAATAATATAAATTAATCAAAAAAATTAGTATAAATATATTTTTTTAAAATATTACTAAAATTGACATTTGTGTTAAATAAAAAATTAAAAAAATTATATAATTTCATATTAATTAAATTGACCTGTTATCATATTTATTATGAAAATAATTATAATTAAAATATATAAATATATATCATTAAATATTTGCGACGGCTTTGTCACGCCTTTGGGACAAAATCCATTGTGAAGGAATATTCCATCCCAAAAATCCATCACAAATATTTTTAGGACAAATAAATTAGTCACACTTTCTGTCACAAATATTTGGGACGCCGTTTGTTATGCCAAAGTCCGTCGCAATAATTTGAAACACCAAATTGTGTCCCAAATTGCAACCCAAACTTTTGGGACAGAATTTAGTGTCCCAAAATCTGTGGCAAATATTTGGGACAAAATTTGGAATGGATTTGAGATGCATTTGTGACTCTTTATGTTCTGTCACAAAATTCCGTCCCAAATCCCTTGTTTTCTTGTAGTGGTAGCTAAACTAGTGTAAAAAGTGTTATTTCAAATCTATTTATTTACAAAAATGTCATAGCTCATAGTTTTTATACCGATTCCTTTTTAATTGGTGTAAAAAGTATTTTTTTATTGTAGTGCCTTCTTTTGTAATCCGTTTAACTCATCAATTCATATTAATTTGAACCTTGTCAAATCTTCCAATTGAAATAAGGTAATAAGTCTAAAATAGTAGGTTGTCCAATAAAAAAGTTAATATATTTAAAATAAAAGTGCGAATATAAGAATAAGTTATACTATATATATATATATATATATATAACATAAATTTACACAAGATTGATATATTTTGTTTTTAGATAATAAATATCATTTTTCACAACAATAGTTATATAACATAGTATAAACGTGTTCTCCTCATTATCATAACTGTTGAGATATCCACTCTTGATGGTTAGGTCAAGCCCAAATATAAGCTTGAGTATAAAATGGGGTTTTGTTAGAATATTAAGAAGGTTTGGGTTCTTACGTGTAATGTGTATGGGGGGCTTTAAGTGCAATTTTCTTCTTGTTTAAAGATAAGTGGAAGCATTTTCTTTACGTTCAAAAAAACTTATCATGTGTGCATGGGCGTTATATGATGAGGCCAATGTGTAAAATAGATCAGGCTTTTTGTTCTGTATATTTTACGTGAAGCATACTGGGAAAACTCCTTACTTCGTTTATTTGCTGTGTACTCAGAATTGAGTTCTATCATGATTCCGTTTCTCCATATAATTCATTCTGTATGGCTAACAAGTATGTTTCCTCCATAATCCTACAATAACGAAAAAAAATTACAGCAGTTCAATATTAGTGTTGTTTAATTAAATGTCAAACATATAAAATACATGAACATGAATAAATTTTAAGTCAAATTGCACGAGAGAAATCAATATTTCACTCTAATAAAATATAACATGAATTCAACGATGACACTTTCCTCTTTTTACAAGTCTCTCGTAAGTTTGTCATGAAACTATCTCATGTCTAAGTCCCAGCATACCCTCAACTGTAATATTTTGTTTGGATGGGAAAAAAATAGAGAAAAAAGAAAATTAGGAGAGAAAATTCCTAAAAGAAGTAAAAAAATTTATTTTTTTTGAAAATTTCTTTTCCTAGTTTTTTTTTCTCTTTATTTTCTTCTCATTTTTCTTTCCATCCAAACCAAGCCTAAAAGATGCCTGAGTGTGTATATGTGCATATTATGCGCGCACAAACTAAATACATATAATTTTCAGACACTACATAAATACATCAGATTGATGACATTAATCCGTTGGTAAAAACACCATCATTGATTCTTGAAATTTCATCATTAAACAAGGATAAGTTATCTTTATTTTGTGATGAAATGTATTTCATTGCTAATCCATTAAAAATTTTAGGCCAACAAAAATATCATCATTGCCAAGTCACCTGATGGACCTCATGCCATTACTACTTCATCACCACATCACCTATCATTGCCACATCATATATTGACCTAAATTAACTTTAAATGTGCCTTGGCACAGCTCAAACTCGCTATCTTACACTTCTATAGTGTTTTTGTATCTACCTTGTTGCCAATTTAAGTTGAAACAAATCCATAGTTCTTAATTGATAAATTATATATATAATATTTAACTTTCCACACACGTGCACGCATATACATATATATTAATAAATACTCCTATATTTTTTAAAGATACTTATTTATTTAACATTATTTTTATTTATTAACATGATAAATTAATTAATATATATAGTTATTATTTCTATTATGTTTTTCTTAACGAAAAATATTTTTGATAGGAAATTTAATATTAAATTGACAAATATTTTATTATCATTACATATTGTATTATTTATCATATAATATATAATATTTTTTATTTTTAAATAAAAATAATTAAGTGTATAATTTTAATTATTATTATTAATATATGAATAATTTAAAATAATAAATTATAATTATTAAATTATTTATTTATATAATAATAAATTACTAAGTATATGTTATATATAATTATATAGAATTAGTGACAGAAAGGTTTGTGATGCAATGCGAATTTTGTTACAAAATGGAAATAAGGTATTTTAAAATTTAGCAATAAAAAGTCGCTAAACTATTTTCGACAGAATTAGCAATGGATTAGTGATAGATTAGTGATAAAAATTTATTCTGTTGCTAAATTTCATTACTAATTGTTCTTTTGTAGTGACACATGCACACACAAACTCTACATTATCATGTTCCACTCACTTGGGGCATTGAAATAATCTACAAAAAAGTATCGTTGTATATTCTGAGGTGAAATTATATGTGAGACGACTCTTGGGTAGTACGTAAAACATAGTTATGGAAACACTGTGGAAAAGCTATATACATGCTTACTATAAATGGCAAAGTGTGATTAATTTTTGTAACTGAAGTGATGAGATTTGTTGATGGGGATATCAAATAAAACGTACGGTGGTCCTGGTTTGTCTAAGATTTATTCGATTGATACTCCCCTAAAAATAGCACATTTCTCTCAAATCAAACGCGTCAACGACAAGTTGGCCAGAAACAACAAACATAACCCAACTTAATTGTTTATAAATTATTATAAACCTCTCAATTTCATCCATCAGATATTCTGAGCTTTTCCCAAGACCAAAAACCCAAAGAAAGGAAAAAAGTGAAGGTTAAAAAAAATAAAGGGAACATAATAATTAAGGGGAATTCTCATCCATCCATAAAACCTGTCAATTCCCACCTTGTTTCCTTCTTATTATTAATTATTAATTTCTTGTGTCTCTGTTATTTCAATCACATCCTTTCCCCTGATCTCTTTCCCCTTCATTCCAATGGCTTCGGTAAGATTTTCATCTGTGAAAGAATCGTTGGATTTAGATTTGGATTTGGATTTGAATTGGGATTTAAATGTGTTTGTTTGTGTGCAGCAAGAGCAAGGAAGGCCTTTACCAAAGTTTGGGGAATGGGATGTGAATGATCCAGCTTCAGCAGAAGGATTTACAGTCATCTTCAACAAAGCCAGAGATGAGAAAAAAACCGGTGGAGCTTCCGGCCGCCATTCCTCACAGCGAAGAGTTGATTCTCATAACGATAAAAAGAAACAATCACCCAACTCCAACTCCAAGGTAGGTTATTTATTATTAATACATCATTCATCAAAAGTCATGTTTCTTTTTGCATAACTACACATGCATATATATAATATCTATAGGAGGTTTCTTGGCCAGGGCCAAATTGGGACCTTTCTTGATGTTTGGGTTGGCTCAACCTGGCCTGGTCTTCTTTAATTCTTTTTTATAATTGACCTGACTCGACTTGAAAATACATTCATTCAACCCTCATTCTTTCATCAAAAGGCCTGTCTTTGCTTAACTACAGTCTACATGCATGTATATGATATCTACTTGGGAGATCATGGCTGGGTAGGATTGACATGAGTGGTATCTGGGCTGGCTCAATCTAACCTGATATCATTTAATTATTTTTTTCTTGTCTACTTAAAATTGATTGGGTCATGTGTTCGACTATAACTACAAGGTTAACTACAAGCACACACTCCCTCCATTAAAAAATGTAAAGCATTTTTTAAGGAGTTAAATGTTAAAAAATATAAAACATTTTTAATCTTTCAAGATGTAATTATTATCTTTTTTTCAAAAGTGTGTCTATTGATGAATGACTCTATATTTATTATAGAGTGTTTAATAAGAGTAAATATAAAAAAATAGGATTAGTTTAAAAGTAAATAACTATTTTACTGAAAGATGAAATTTAATTAAAAATATCTTATATTTTTAAACGGAGGGAGTATATGATATCAACTTCGAAGATGGCAGGGCTAGAACCTTTCTTGGTATCTGGGCTGGCTCAACTAGATCTAATCTCATTTAATTCTTTTTTAAAAAAAAAATTGGCATGACCTGGATCAAAATGATTGAGATCATGTGCTAGACCAACTGCAAGGTTAACATATTATATTCAATCCTCTCATTATTTCATTCATTCATTCATAAAAAACCTAGTTTCTTCTTAACTGCATGCATACAAATGATAATTACGTGGAGCTAGGGTTCATAGCTAGGCAAGCCTAGAACCTTTCTTCATATTCGGGCTTGCTCGGCTTGACCTTATCTTGTTTAATTTTTTCCCCCCTTTAAAATTGACAAACTCGACTCGAAATGATTGGGTCATATCAGATAAATACAGCTATCAAGCTATTTCAACACCCTCACTAACTAAACAAACCTTCCACGTATTAGAAGAAGCTTGACCAATAAATTGCACAATTCACGTGACTTGGAGGAGATCACATGATGATTCTATTGTAAGTTTTATATTTGAGACTGATATTGATGATGATTTGTTTGTGATGTGAATGCAGAAAAGGTGGTTTTGCTTTGGTCCTTGAGAAGGAGAGGTTTCTTATTGAACTTCATTGTCAGTCTTCATGTGTTTATGAAGCGTCCAAATTGTATTGCAGGCTCAAGAAAAATGGAGTTTCAGGGATTTGCAGCTTCTGGTTCCTCCTCTTGATTTGATTTTCTCTTAATTAATTTGCACCGAAAAGTAATGTAAATAGGCATATTTATCTTTTTGATTTTATTTTTTTAAAAAATATAAAAGCCTTATTTTTTAATCACGATTCGGATTGTAATATTCAAATTAAAAGGTCCCACTTTATGTGTCCATTGCTCCAAATAATATACCACTCGTTTTCAAATCATAAAGCCAACAAACCTAAACAACTTGGTTATCTCCAATGGCGAATATTTAATATTTTTATAATTTTGTCATTCTATTTTGATTTAATACTTTATATTAATACTATGACCCTTTATTATTAAAAAAATAAAGCAAAGCAGCATTTTGTATTTTTATGTTTTTTTCAATAATCATAAATAATGATAAATGAATAAATTTAAATTTTTTTATTTGGGCATTTGGCAAATCCCAAAACATTTGCAAGCACGGCGCAAACCCATAATATAAGCATTACAAGGATGCCTTGTTAGCATTATTTGAATAAAAGAGTTTTTGGTTAAATTTAAAAAAAATTATGGTACAATTCTGTTTAGATTTAAATATACTACTTTACAAAAAAAAAAAGCTAAAGTATACATTTAGTTCTTCAACTTTACACAAAGTTTTATTTTAGTCCCTTAATTTTATAAATTTTTTTTTATGTCCTTTAACCATAATATTGTTAGTTTTATTTTTACATTAAATTTTTAAATATTGACAAAATATTCTTAAATGTTGACATATTAAGTTTAATTTTTTTTTCAAAATAACAATGATTGATATGAAAAATAATCATTTAAAACTAACAATAATTGGGTTAAAGGACTAAAAAGATACTTTATAAAATTAAAGAATTAAATTAAAATTTTATATAAAGTTAAAAGTATACTTAAAAAAAGGAAAAAAAAAAAAGCCTTTTGATCGTTAATTAGATAAGTTTCCATGCGCATTGATATATGAGCTACGATATATCTGATTTACGGGTAACGCAATTTATTATAAATTTTATCATATATTGGCGTTAATGCATTGATTTTCAAGAAATATAATTTAATGTTTTAATTCAAAATTAAATAATGTTGTCTTCTTAATTTTTTTGAGGTGAAATTACATGGAATTTTCTTAAAATTTGAGTCAGAAGTAAATAATTTATAATCAATGCTCAAAACTTAATGAGTTTCTTTGAATTGTCAAATTTATAAAAGAGAAAATTAGCTCAATGACCTCAAAAAATATAATTTTCATAAATTATGGATGAGATTTTTAAATATTTTAGAATATGACCGCTCATAAAATCAATTAGATGTATTTTTTTCTTTTTTATTCTCAGAATAAATTTATTATTAAAACAGAATATATCTAATTTAACTAATCTTTAATTGATTGAATCTTTTATTTTTATCATCAAAAATCATATTGTACATGCTCCCTTTCTGATTTATCATATTTGAATATCTTTTTCATCATATTTTTTGATTTAATTTTCCTGGATCATTATATTCATCTTTCATACAGTACTTTTCTTCATCATAATTTTTGATCTCATTTGCCCAAATCATCATTTTCATCACAGAGCTTTTCCTTTCTCTCCCACTCTGTTTTTCCCAAATATTACGAAGAGGACATTAGACATTGAAGAGGAAACTTCATTATTGATCTGCAATATTACATCATTAATATATGGTTGTATATTAATGATTAACAAATTGGTAAATTTTCACTGATATGTCTTATATATCAGTAATATATAATAATAGTCTATCACTGATATACTATCGTACATCAATATAACTAGACAATAAGACATAAATTTATTTATAATTGATATACAATCATATAGAAATGATGTAGTATTGCAGATTAGTAATACAAAAAACACATAATTATTTTCCTTATACAGATCAAACATAATCTATAAAAAATTTTAGACCCTTAGCTTATCATATAAAATCAAATACCTAAACTAATAAAATAAAAATCCATAAATCTATAGCTTCGTTTGCTCGTCGGTGTGATCCATTTTGTCGAGTACCGTCGATGTATCTCACTCGAGTTTTTCTCTCACCGCCATGATTGTAGCTCACTTACACTACTCTGCTATCTCACGTTCATCTCTGTCGCGTCAAGTTCCGTCTTCTCTTGCATTTGTCTTTCTTATTCTAGAGATTTCTTGCATTTTAAATCTTTTGGTATTTGAAAAAAGCATATAATAAAAGGGCCATTTTTGAAATTTAAGAAAAAATAGGCTATTTCTTTTACTTGGTTTTATAATATGGGCTATCTATATAAAAGCCCTTTATAAAAATAACCCTCTTCTTGTTAATTTATTTAATAAACTTAGCAATTGGAGGATTAAACCTTGTCATTTGAACTTCTTTCTATTATAAGAAAAAACTTATCACCAAATTATCAATTATGATCAATGTATCTCATGTTACACTTTTATGCCAATCCTAGGATTTAATGCAGAGACTACTTGATAAAGGATAAGAAAGGAGGGTGAGAGTTAAATTTTTTTTAGAAGTAATGTAATTTCTCTTATTTAATTGAATAATTCATAATGTTAGAATTCTAGTAACTTATTCAATAGAACTTAAATATTAAATTATAGTAATTACTATACTTTTTTAAAAGGTAAATGAACAAATTAACTTTGGAACTTTAGGTCCAATGGTACTATAAATCCTAAATTTATTTATTATGTAAATTGTTCTCTCAATTTTTGAAAACAATGCAATATAGCTCCAACTGATAATAAAAGTTAATTTTGATCATTAGTGGATTATAAAAATGATAGAAAAGAATCTTAAAAATTAGAGAAAAGAACTAAATTTTTTTGTTCTTTTTCTATATTTTTTGGGCTTTTTTTTGTAATTTTTGGGTCATCTATTATTTTTTTTAGTCATTTTTTAATTTTGATATCATTTTCAGGTTAACTAACAATCAACATTAATTTTTATTAACCACAAGAGTCAGATTGTATCATTTTCAAAAGTCGAGGAAATAATTTGTAGAATAAATGAGTTCAAATTTTATAGTGTTAGATCTAACATTTTGAGAAATAAAACTTAGGCTATAACCTCATGATCAGAAGAAAAGAGGCCAATTTAAGGTCTAAATGTTCCCTAAGATAAGGTAATGAACTTGGGTTTGGGATTAGTGAAGAGGTAAAGTGTTTAGAATAGCAAGAGTCATACTAGATAACTCACTAGGGCGAGAAGTGTGTAATTCATAAGGGCGAGTGAGTATCTAGTTGGGGTGAGTGAACACAATTTTAGAGATTATAAACACGCATGTTAACTAAGAAAAACACAAGGAAAACATAATAAAAACACTTTATAGAGTGCGAAAAAAAAACCTGAGCTCTGTTAGGGTTGCATGGTCTACAACTGATGAGATACTTTAGAGGCCAGATTCATCTAAGATTGAGATAGCATTAGAGATCATGTAGGTTTGAGTATAATAGAACTCAGGGTTGGAGAGATTAAAACGCTTGATCTCTTAAAGGTTTAAGGTAACTAAGAGCTTATTATGTTATATATTACAATTAGTAACACTGCCTAGTAAATTAATTATGTTATTTTACTGATCATAATGAGATTTTTACTTGAGTTGTGAAATATGATTATGAGCTGTAATATATTATGAGCTGCCTAGTAACACTGCCTAGTAAATATGATTTGTATGTGTAAAGCATGTTTATTTACTACTAGAAATTGTGTTATAATATGAATTGTCTTATGAGAACTTTATGAATTGTGGAATATTGAAAATGATGTCTCTGTGTGTGTGTGTGGAATATTGAAAATGGTGTGTGTGTGTGTGTGTGTGTGTGTGTGTGTTTATACATCTGATTATCTGAATGCATGCATAAAGGTGAGAGTTCACCTGTTAGGGGAGTAGTTGTTATTAGATATGGTGATACACCCAAGAGAGGGATGGATTGGGTGTTTATGAAATTTTTAGTTTTTTCAAAACTTTTTGCAGCAAAATTGTGTGTAAGAGAAAGTTTGAGTAAATTCAAGTTTTAAACTCTTATTGCAAGAATATCAAAGTAATTTTTATAAGCTCAATATGTAAAAAATCAAATTTCTACGTGAAAGTTTAAGTAAGAGCATGTAGATGAAAAAAAATTATTAATTAATTAACTCATCTATATTTTTTATCATCAAAAGCTAAATATAATGTCACAAGCCATTATGTTCAACAATTGTAATTATGAAAAATTCATGGTATGCCTTCCTGAGGTCGCACACCAATAGTGAGATATATATATATATATATATATTGAAATGTGTGCTTAGTTTTACTACTCTAATTGGTAGTGTTGGTCAGACACTTACTTAGTTTCACTACTTAGATTGACAGTGTTGGTTGGGCACATCATGACATCCTAAGGTTTGAGTAAGAGGAACCCATGGTCCAAACTTGAGTAAGGAAGCCCTTGGCCGGTCAACCCCTCATGTTTTGGAGAGGGAGTCTGGTTCAGTTATATGAATTGGACCTACAGTTAATTGTCCATAGGTTCAACTAGAGGGAATAAGGAGGTTTTAAGGGGAAATTTAGCATGCATGCTATGAATAATAATTTACAAGTTATTGTAGAAATGAATGTTTGATATGTATTATGATGGATGGTTTGCATGAGGTTTTAAGCTATACTTATTATTGTATGCCTTATTAGTTGCTATTACTGCATATGATATTTTAAGAGTCTTGGTTACTAAGATTTTGTATAAAATCTCACCCCATTACATCTTATTTTTCCATGAGAGGAGCAAGGCAAGGAGGAGGCTAAAGCCCTAAGAACTAAGCACTAGAGTGGTTCTGCATTCTAGTGAATATTTCTAATACAGCCATATTATCAATTTTGCCAACTATAGGGTCTTAGAAGCATGTTTAAATTATTATAGAATATTATATTCTAGAACTTGTGGTAATAGGTTTAATTGATATTTTTATGGTCATAATTAATTATTTATTACTCTAAGATGTTGAGTTGAGTTCTACCTCCTATGTATTGTCAAACTCTAGTTGACTTATAAAGTATGCTTGC